TTGAGACAGGATTTCTCTCCCATTGCCCAGGCTGGAGTACAGTGGTGTGATCTTGGCTCACTGCAACCTCCACCTCCTGGGTTCAAGCTATTCTCCTGCCTCACCTTCCTGAGTAGCTGGGATTACAGGCACCAGCCACCACGCCCGACTAATTTTTGTATTTATAGTAGAGATGGGGTTTCACCATGTTGGCCAGGCTGACCTAGAACTTGTGACCTCAGGTGATCCGTACACCTCGGCCTCCCAAAGTGCTGGAATTACAGGCATGAGCCACCGCACCCAGCCTGTATTTTTATTTTATTGATGAGTAATAGAGATGCTGTATATTTGGCTCATGTATCTCCCTTACTGTCTGTCTTCACCCAGTGAAATGCTAGCTGCACGTGGGCCAGGAATTGTGGCTGGACCTTATTCTTGTGCCTGCAGCAGTGCTCAACACATGGCAGTCAGTCAGTTAGTATTTACTGATTTTTTTTTTTTTTTTTTTTTTTAGACGGAGTCTCGCTCAGTTGCCCAGGCTGGGGTGCAGTGGCCGGATCTCAGCTCACTGTAAGCTCCGCCTCCCAGGTTCACCCCGTTCTCCTGCCTCAGCCTCCCATGTAGCTGGGACTACAGGCGCCCGCCACCGCGCCCGGCTAAGTTTTGTATTTTTAGTAGAGACGGGCTTTCACCGTGTTAGTCAGGATGGTCTCGATCTCCTGACCTCGTGATCCGCCCATCTTGGCCTCCCAAAGTGCTGGGATTACAGGCGTGAGCCACTGCACCTGGCCAGTATTTACTGATTAATTAATAGTTAGCCAGTGAGGCCCAGAGTGTGGTGTGGGCTTGTAGTCCCAGCCACTTGGGAGACTGAGGATCATTTGGGTCCAGGAGTTTGAGACTCCAGAGAGCTATGATCACACCACTGCACTCCAGCCTGGGCAACAGAGCAAGACCTCATTTCAATCAATCAATTAAAAAAAAATTATCAAGGGCCAGGCACGGTGGCTTATGCCTGTAATCCCAGCACTTTGGGAGGCCGAGGCAGGTGGATTACCTGAGGTCAGGAGTTCAACAGCAGCCTGACCAGCATGGTAAAACCCTGTCTCTGCTAAAAATACAAAAATTAGACGGGTGTGGTGGTGCATGCCGGTAATCCCAGTTACTTGGGAGGCTGAGGTGGGAGAATTGCTGGAACCAGGGAGGTGGAGGCTGCAGTGAGCCGAGAGATCATGTTAACTGCATTACGGCCTGGGCGACAGAGCAAGACTCCGTCTCAAAAAAACAAAACAAAACAAAACAAACAAACAAAAAAACTTGTCCAGTGAATGACAAGATTTGCAGAAAGCCTGACATGGGTCCGTACATTCCAGTCCCCTGTACAAGCCTTGTCTGGAGTCTTTGTGCTCTATGGTGTGAATGCATGGAGGGGGATCCTCTCTTCTGACCTCTGATCCCGCCCCTCTCTGCCTCACCCTTCCCCACCAGCCCGGTGTACGAGAAGTACTGCGCAGACCACTTTGCGGACGGCCGCTGCGACCAGGGCTGCAACACGGAGGAGTGCGGCTGGGATGGGCTGGATTGCGCCAGCGAGGTGCCGGCCCTGCTGGCCCGCGGCGTGCCCTCCTGGGTTCAAGCTATTCTCCTGCCTCACCTTCCTGAGAAGCTGGGATTACAGGCCTGAGCCACTGCACCTGACTCCCTTTTTTTTTTTTTTTTTTTTTTTTTAGACAGGGTCTTGCTTTGTGGCCCAGGCTGGAGTGCAGTGGCGTTATCTCAGCTCACTGCAACCTCTACCTCCTGGGTTCAAGTAATCCTCACACCTCAGCCTCCCGAGGAGCTGGGACCACAGGTGTGAGCCACAGTGCCCGGGTAACTTTTGTGCTTTTTTTAAGAGATGG